AAGGCTCAACTCGCTGATAACTCTGCACCTGTGCACAAGGTAAGTGTTCGCCGAATGTACGGATAGCAACTCACTTGACAGCAAACTCTTATAAGCACAATGCAGAGACAAGTTCACTTCTTCAGGTTGTAGTAGTCGTGGACTACATATTTAACTGACATTCTAACATACAATTGACACAGACCACAAGCCCGACGCACAGTGCAGGCTTTCAGGTCACTTCACCAAATGTGTTTATTACCTGACAGCAAAGAAACAAAGTTCCACCACCCCCCCCCCCCAACTCGTGTAAGCTCTATAGACTGTTGGGGCAAGTGCTGTTAGTAAACATCTATTACAACTATTACGGTGGTGCACTCGAAATGGTGGTGCGGTAATCAGGACCATGACGGGCTGCTTTGACCTAATGGCACAGACACGCATACACACGGTAGACTCGTGAAACATTCAAGGCAATGCTTATCAGCTGAGTTTGCAGTAAGGGACTCTAGTACTAGTGAACCTACCAGGACACAAACACACACACGCTTACTACACAGCACACTTTGGTCGTAGCTCTACTTGGACTTCATGAATGCGGTTAGGTGCGTGACCTGGAACCAGTTTAATAAAATACTTTCATCAATTGACCCTTCAGTCATATTTTTGTAAATTAGAAATCAATGAAAAATGCAGTTTAAAATGTTTTATGGAATTGGCCATTAGCTTCTGGGAATATGGGCACCGTTTCATGTTCTCGCGGAAGTGATGGCCAAAAATTACCCTCTAGGGTAATCCTCTGAGAGCTCCCTGCGATTTAGGCCCTTCCACAAGCAGTCTCTCAGTGGGTGTTTGTGGGTGTACCACTGTGTCTCTGTAGAAATGTCCATGTCTGTATGCTTGCCTGCATGTTCACGTGTGCCTCTCTGTGTGCATCTGTGTGACAAAAACAGGCAAATCCATTAGATGAAGTCGTCTTCCCAGTGGCAGGGATGAGCTGCACACCACAAGGTTTTACTTCACTTTATTCAGCATCATTCACCACATGAATTACTGCCACACTCCTCTATAACAAACACACATCCACATCTATCTAGAGCCAATCCCTAAATGGCTTTACAAATCCGTTAACAGCACACATACAAGAGGCCCAAATCGAGTCTCTTTGTTAAGGGTAACATTATGTGCTCGGTTTATTTGTGATTGTAATTACGTTTGTTGCACACGTGTATATGTGCATGAATGACCATGTGTGTCTTTGGGCATGTGTGTGTGCAGAAGTCTTGGACAAATTCAAAGACAGAATGACAGTGCAGGAACGTCGAGAAATATTGAAAATCAATGAAGTTTATTATTTCAAGATTCGTTCTGAACGAAATGGCCCTTCCAATAATGGCTACGATGACATCAACGACCACTACATTCCGGTAAGACTCTCCAATATGGGCCATGCTCATTGCAACTAAATCATGCATTCCACTATAAAGCACAACATCCCTTACACGCACGTGTATACCTAATATGTTGCTCATGATTTTCTATGTGAAGAACACTTAAATGTTAAGCGACTCAATGTCCTGGTTTTGGACATTTTCAGAAAGGCTCTCCTGGTGCCACAAAGCAACTACAATTTTTTTTTTGAATTTGTATCGATGAAAATGTTCTGGCCTAATGCTCAACTCTTGATACGACCAAAAGGTGGGGCTACCTGAGTAGTGGGTGGGGTTGGCATAGCCTATGAGTATAGTATGCAGGGCATACAGAGTGAGGCCACTAACTGTGTGGGTGGAATCCGGGAATTGAATGAACATGGCTATGTAAAAGTGAACGAGGCTGAAGGAGAAAGGGCCTGAAATTTGGCATCTGTGATTTTGGGTTTTAAATCTAGATTTAACAGTGCATCGCTCCAGTGGCTTCCTAATATCGGAAGGAAGAGCATTCCAGACAGCAGCAGAAGTGCATCTCGAAGCGCGCGATGTAGTGACTATCTTTGTCATCCAGCTCTGAGAAAAAAGCTTCAAAAATACAGATAAAGGACATTCTATAACCCACACTTTGCATAGAATGATTTAGTGGTTTCCAGCGTGAGGCAAAGATGTATTTGGCAGAGACATCAGAGAGAGCTCAGACATGTGCATGAGTGTGTGAATGTCAAACCAGTGACTGATAAATGAGAACTTGAATGAGCCGTGTGTTTAGACTGAGTAATGTTTGAGCACTCAGAGAGGGCCCTGGTTGAGTACTGAACACTTGTGTAATCTTGTTCCAGATCACGGATGAACACTTGGTGTACCGCTTCCAAGTACTGAATGTGATTGGGAAGGGGTCCTTTGGGCAGGTACTCCGATGCCTGGACCACAAGACGAAAAAAGAAGTGGCCATCAAGATGCTAGCGAACACTTCTACGTAAGTTTGAACAACGACATGGACCACATTTTAAAAAGATCTGAATTCGTGAAGAGAACCATAGCTTGTAAGAATTTGTGTTAATTTACACATTTCAGAGGAAGTCTAAACAGTAATAATTTTAAAGTTGATTTTGTTTAACCTCGTGAGAACTGAAGATACCATGATGAGTCTCATTTGCAAGAGTGACTTGGAGCATTAATCTGCCAGTAGGGGACAATGATTGCTATGTTGCACAATACAAATTGAGGGATTTGTGGTGTAGGTTTCGATATTGGCAAACATTGTACCCAGTTACAAGCACACAGTGGCATACTCTTGCAAATTACGTCAGGTGATCTTTAGCATCCATCGAAGCAGACAGCATGCATTATGGTTATACACCCGCAGTATTAATAAGAGCGGCCACTTGAATCGAACCTTGAACCTCTGCAACGAGTGGCGAACGTGCTGCTGCCGGGTCATGTATCCATCTCTATCAGAAGCTGTTGTTTCTGTATGAGTTTATAATTTCATAAATGTCATCAAACACCATCAAAATAATGTTTGATTTGTCATGAAGAGGCAATATGTAATTTGTATGGTGCCTGCCACGTGAACGTGGCGATCAAACCACTGACCAACAGCGTGGATGAGTGCTGCCCTTTTGCTCATTATATTCTATTCTTCTATATGGCAACATGTTCAGGCACTAAATACCAATGCCAAGGTCTGCTAGCCACAAGAGGTCTTCAGGAGAGATTTTTGTTTTACTTTTGCAATTCCACATTAAAGCAGCAAAGACTACATTGGTTGACAATATCGTCCACAGTTTGGGTTGGAGCAGCAGGACACTTTCTACCTTACTCGCTTAACATAGCTCAAAAACTACAGTGATCATAATCCAGTGGTGCACAATTTTCACCTCACTGAGATGGGATGCGGTAACTCCTTCGAGTAACGACCATTGACAACTTCCCAACCAATTGGTGCAGCTTCCCCAGTTGGCGCTGATTACGTCGACCGGGCAGGGACGATGTCGACGTTGACCGGGATTAAGCGCTCATAGCCATGATTCTGGAGCTCTGTTGACTGAGCCATCCCATGTGTGTGATAATGCCTAAAAATATGCAAGACTTAAAGAGTGGGGTGAGACTTATCGATGCATTCCCTCCACAGCAACAACATTCAGAAATGCAGAATGGAGGCGCATATCATGAATGCGTTGCAGTCCAAGGACACAGAAAATAACTGCATTATTAGATTTCTCGGACACCTTCTGTTCAGACGTCATCCCGCCTTCATTATGGAGCTCATCACGTAAGTAAATATCACATATGTGCGCCAGCATCGTGTTTATCTCAAGCAAGTTTTTAAAACGTGCAGATAACATTCGCTGAATTTCAGATAATTTTTTTTTTGTTTGAGCAGGTGAGAACTTAAGAGACCAGGATGCATTATTCTTTGGTTCTTTCGGTAAAGTCACGTGACTTTACCGAAATAACCAAAGAATAATTCCTGCAGTCACGAAAGCTCCAAAATTAAGATTAGACCAGGATGCGTCTCATTTGCAACAGTGACCTGGGGTATTAGATTGCCAGTAGGGGGGGGGGGCGATGATTCCTAAGTTGTACAACGGCAATTAGAGTAATTTTTTGGGTAATTTTCGAATTTGACATCGGCTGTGAGACAGACACGGTGCGTGCTATTATTAGAGCTGCATTAATCAGGGAGGCTGCTGGATTCGAACCATGAACCTCGACGAAAGGCGGGGATCCTACTGCCATGAGGCCATGTCACCACCCATCGGAATGTCCCAGCCGTTTTATTTTAAGGCTTTGTTGGTAGTTTTTAAAAGATGAAATGGACATGGGTGCCTCCTTAACCTGGCACATAACTGTTTATGATGCAACGATACTCTCCCACCTTAATTAGAGTGGTACCACCATTTTACATTGTACAGCACATTAAAACATAGCACTTCATAATAATTACAAATACAGTAAACAATGTTTCTCGTTAATTTTGGAGCTTTCGTGACTGCAGGAATTACTCTTGGTTCTTTCGGTAAAGTCACGTATAAAGATAAAATAATAAATTAAATAATACCTGATGATGATTGCTTGTGTTGCAATCGAAACGTCGTATGCTGTTATTTAATTTATTATTTTATATTTATACGTGACTTTACCGAAAGAACCAAGAGTAATGTTTCTCGTTATCTGTAAACAACATTGCTACCTACCGCAATGTCCCGTCTCACCCATTACCTTCATCATGAAACCAGATGCAACAGCAAATTCTCATAATGAGCCCTATGAACGAAACTCCCTACCGTGGGCGTCGAGGTGTGATACCCTGGCTTGTCAGGAGAGGGCAGTAGAACACAAATGTCGACTCTACCTGTTCCACCTGTATGGGACAGAGTATTGTCCCCCTCGAAAGTGTGGGGTCTGTCTGGGGGCTCCGGTTCCTTCCAACATGTAAACGCTCAAAATGTTGTAATAGGTTTTTACCCTTTCAACTGGTACAAAACTGACACCTTTATACAAGGCATCATGTTTGCAATAACCACAACACAAGCAGTCAAAATGCAAACAAAAAGAAACAACTCTGATGATGATAATGATATGCACTGTCCTTGAAGTTGATTGGTCCACACCCGAGACAGCTTTTCTTAGAGCCTAGTCTCCATTGGTGTTGGACCAGATGACGCCAAAAGGCGTACAACTCAAAAACAGCGCACTATCAGAGTATTGAGAGCTCGGAGTAAGCATTTACACTATGAGACATCTTTACCAGTGGCGAAATATAGTAATAGATTTTTACCCTTTCAACTGGTACAAAACTGACACCTTTATACAAGGCATCATGTTTGCAATAACCACAACACAAGCAGTCAAAATGCAAACAGACTGCTTGTGTTGTAGTTATTGCAAACATGATGCCTTGTATAAAGGCGTCAGTTTTGTACCAGTTGAAAGGGTAAAAACGTATTACTATATTTTGCCACTGGTAAAGGAGATGTCTCATAGGTTCAAAATGTTGTTGATAATACCTTGATATATACAAGACCGCAGAGCTTAGGCATCTGTTGGCGCCTCCTCATCACTTGGTTGACTTCCTGTTTGTGTTCTTGGTTCTTTCGGTAAAGTCACGTCGAAGGGAAATAATAAAATAATAAAGATTAAACGTAATAAAATAACATTCTCACGACGTTTCGGCCACAACGCAAGCAGCCGTCCTCAGGTGAAGAACAGGGCTGTCAGAAAGACAGCGTCCGAATCTTTCCGACAGCCCTGTTCTTCACCTGAGGACAGCTGCTTGGGTTGTGGCCGAAACGTCGTGAGAATTGTATTTTATTATGTTTTCTTTTTATTATTTTATTATTTCCCTTCTACGTGACTTTACCGAAAGAACCAAGAAGATGAATCCCTGCAGTCACGAAAGTTTTAAATCGAAATTTTCTGTTTGTGGTTCCTCGTACCTCTGAGTAATTTTCTCTTTATATTACTGAGTGATTACTGTGCATGTTATAAGTTGATATTATATTTCTCAAACCCAATATGCAGGTCATGTTTCATCATCATTCCCCTGGGAGAAATTTTAATTTGGTTTTACATGATAAAAATCCTAAACTATTGTAAAACACAAGTCCCCGAGTTCATGAAGCGAGCCTAAGCATTGACCAAGAAGTGGCAGGGAAATAACCATTGACGGTATCTTGTCTTGCAGCACCGACCTATTTGATCAATTCCAGGCCAACTCCACGATCTTTGCGCCGTCAACAATCAGGCTCTATGCAAGATCCCTGTTGACAGCCCTGGCAAAACTTAAGAAGGAGGCCATCATTTATGGCGACCTGAAGCCGGTAAGTAAATACAATAGCATACTGCGTCATTCATGGATTTGTGTTGCCTTGAGGCAACTGTGACGAAAGATGCCTCTCCCGTAACTCTAAAATTAAAAACCATACACCCTGCACCTTATACCGCATTGAACAACACGAATGTTTATGTTTTCATAAATGTATGAAAATAATCGACACGTTTCAATCTTGGACATTGTCTATCTCTTCTTGCTCTCGAGCTCACTCTGCAGTTTATTTGAAGAGATTCTAATTTACATTCGTCACAATGACAACAGCTACAATTGGCCCAAAGTTAGACACATTTCTTACACGAGTAAAGGAGAGAACCACCTTAAACTGAATATGTAAAATGCAGTCTTAACTGGATGTCTAAACGGTAGGAGCTGCATGCCATGAACACATTTGAACGTTAACCACTATTGCCCTTTGTTATTTTTTTTCTAGGAAAACACCATGGTCAAAGACCATGCAACCGGCAACATCAGGATAATTGATTTTGGCGTGAGTGTCATGATGACGAAGCCAAGTGAGTGGCTTTACTTGTGTTTCCGTGCGAGGGTGTGTCTCTGTGTGTCTTTGTGAATCTTCGTCGATATACGAGTGGAGAGTGCTAGTGCAGCGGTTAGCGCAGTGCGCTACGCACCTGGCCGCCCTCAGTTCGATTCCCGCTCATGGCCGACACAAGTGACGATTATCTGAACCGGTGCTGGGTCCCCCCTAGGTCGACTCAGCCCCAACTTAGCAGCTAGTGCGGTGTGTAGTAAACATCGCCACTAGGGAGACAAAAGCAGCCGGGCGTAGTGCTGGCCACCCCACCCCCTCGTGTGCCGTGCCGGCCTTCATAGGTGCTCGTGAACAGCACTTGCCCCAACAGTCTGCTAAGGCTACACGGGGGATCTTTGTCTTATATGTGTGTTGGCACAGCAGGGGGCATAGTTGGTGCATCTGCCACTCATTTCGGTCCCATGACCTGTCGGTGAACCTTCGACACTTCAAGTGGCCTCAAAGTGCACCTGGCCTGGCACAGGCGCCGTGGTGACGTCACCGCCACTTAGTGGCAAATGGCGACTGTTATTCTTATGTGTGTGCGTGTGGAAACGTGGCATGGTGAGCAGCACTGCAGTGCACTATAATCTCAGTGACTCAGTTTAATCCTCAGCCACAGAGGCCTTAATAGGTCATATAGGCCTTAATAGGTGCTTGCAAACAACTTTACCCAAAATTCAAACCATCTCTTGGAGTGCCACTCACGCTTTTCCAGTTTTGACCCAGTTGTAGAAAGATACACATTCAATTGCTGTATAGAATTATAAAGGTTAACATCCTATAACATGTTTTTTTAAATCCGCGTGCACTAAAAAATCTAAGCAAATAACGTGCATGATCTCCTCGCTCAATCAGTGCTATTCCTCTGTGTGTGGTGTGCAGTTTTCGGATTTTTCGGAACGTTCGAGTACATGGCTCCAGAGATATTACTGGGCCTCGAACTCACCTGCGCAGTGGACATGTGGTCTCTGGGCTGCATAATTGCCGAGCTCGCTTCTGGGGAGTCACTTTTCACGGCAACAGGAAATCCAATTGACGAAATGATCACGGTACCTGAAATATGGCAAAATATAATCTCATTATTTATGATTTTGAAGCCTATGGCTTAGTTTTAGTTGAGCCAGCTCACACTGCTAATGCTGAGTGATGGTCCATTAGTCGCTAACAACGATATAGGAGACTGCCCTGGACTGCAATACACGGTTCAAGTAATCTGTGGAGCAATCATACTTTTGGCCTCATTCCATGGGAACAAATGTTGCTCTGCTGCCAGTATGTACATAGAGAATAGACATATCTTTAATGTGATCAGACACTAGTTGGACACGTATGATGTGATTTGGCCTTGGTCATAATAACTCAGAGTGACAGACTTTTACCCTTTCCATTCTTCGGGTTCATTGTTCGTCCCGAAGGTTCCTGAAGTCACCTTCAAAGGGCAATATTTGTTAATTAAGTACCCAATACAAATTAAATCTATTTGGCAGTGGTGTAAAAGGATGTGCAGTTCTTGGGAATAAACGTTTCAGTTTTATAGACCTTTATACATTTGAGGAAGTCTACTGTATGTATGTTTACGATACACACAGTCCAATGACCTAACCCATGTATATTAATTTCACTGTGACCTGTGCACAGATTCTTGGTCTCCCACCCAGTCCTATGATTGATGCTGCGACCAGAATGCACATTTCCACGGGTGAGTGGGAGGGCAGGTTGCTACTTCTGTTGTCACAATTATTCAGGCAAGCATTGCCGTAATGTACTTTGTTCTTCTTCTTGGTTCTTTTGGTAAATCACGTAGAAGGGAAATAATAAAATAATAAAAATAAAACATAATAAAATAATTTTCACGACGTTTCGGCCACAACGCAAGCAGCCGTCATCAGGTGAAGACCAGGTCTGTCTTCCCAACAATACAAATTACAGACCTGGTCTTCACCTGAGGACGGCTGCTTGCGTTGTGGCCGAAACGTCGTGAGAATCATTTTATAATGTTTTATTTTTATTATTTTATTATTTCCATTCTACGTGACCTTACCGAAAGAACCAAGAAGATGAATCCCTGCAGTCACGAAAGCTTTAAATCGAAATGTACTTTGTTCTTATTCCTCGGAACTCGTTTCACTCATTTTCTCTCCAACACAGACAAGAATGGGTGCCACAGGGTGGACGGCAGGAAGGTCTTTCCAAACACCTCCTCTATTGAGAAAAAGCTTTGGAATACGAACAGAGAGATAATCGATTTCGTCGAAGGATGCCTTGAGTAAGATATAACTGCACTGTCTACATATTATCTTAATTCATAATTATTTTCGTGTTCACCATCAGCACTTTCATAAAAGAGTACACACTACTACGAGTGATGTATGTTTTACTGACAGGAAGTGGCTTTGTGTCATAACAGGGCAATATTTCTGGCCTTGTGCCTTCTTACATTCGTTAGCACAATGAATGTAAATAATTGCATGTGCCACACCTAGAAGAAATGTAGACGGTAACTGAACCCTGACGATTCCCCGTTTATATCTTGGCAGGTGGGATCCCGTTCGCCGGCTCACGCCTGAAGAGGCTTTGAGCTACACGTGGATTCAGGATGGCACCGAGGTCGAAAGCCACGCTAGTCACAATGAACCGGATGCAGTGGACGCATCGATTAAAATGGACGAGATCGTGGAGGTGGATCGTGTGAGCCAATGCGAAAAGGGAAGGACGAATGATTCTGGGTTAGATCTCGAGGAAGATTTCGTGTCATCCAAGAGCCGATTGTGAGTCTCCACGTGCATCTTGAAGAATATTTGTGTCGGTTAAGTTCTCATGAAGTGACTTTGATGTTTTTCCCTGCTCCAATGAGCTTAGAGAAAACAATAATTTCGCTCTGCATTCAGATCTCATTAAGAGGTTGCTCCTTCTCCTCTGCCGTCTGGAACTGTCCTTCCCCAGCCATCTTCATTGTCGACTTCATGCTCTTGTTCAACTCTAGGCTCCAGATCTTCCTCTTCTCCTCTGCCTATGACTCTAGAAAATAATCAGAATATGTATTTATACTGGAGGAATTCGATAAGCTATGAAGCTCTTTTTACGGATGTCCAGTATAATGTCCAGCAGTACTGGACATAATTCTTACATTGGTCTTCATTTATAGATTGGCCCCTGCTATGGGAATGGGGAATTCCCACCACTCTGCTTGATCGTTTGGGGTAGCGATAGGGGTAGGGGCAGTGATGTACTTGACATCTGTGAGAAGGAGCTTTATAGGTCATAATATTCCCACAGTCTAAATCAATATTCTGATTCTGAATATATTCTGATAGGGGTAGTCCTGGTTGTGGCCGTGGGGCAGGGCAGGGAGTAGTCGTAGGATAGATAATGGAATTGTATTGCAGTAGGAAAGTTTCAGCACAAATAATGAAAGACAGACAGAGGCATAACAGTGGCACTTACAACTCTCTTTCAGCTCGAACGCCAGTTCCCACACTACCCTGGAATACCAGCACAGCAGCACGAACGGCAGTTCCCACACTGTCATGGAACACCAGCGCAGCAGATCGAACGGCAGTTCCCACACTGTCATGGAACACCAGCGTAGCAGATCGAACGGCAGTTTCCACACTGTCATGGAACACCAGCGCAGCAGATCGAACGGCAGTTCCCACACTGTCATGGAACACCAGCGCAGCAGATCGAACGGCAGTTTCCACACTGTCATGGAACACCAGCGTAGCAGATCGAACGGCAGTTTCCACACTGTCATGGAACACCAGCGCAGCAGATCGAACGGCAGTTTCCACACTGTCATGGAACACCAGCGCAGCAGATGGAACGGCAGTTCCCACACTGCCCTGGTGGAACACCAGCGCAGCCATCAAGCGACAAGTGAAGCTGTCGCCAACACCGGAACGAAGGCATCGAGGGGGCCTGGGCGGAGATTTGCACGAGTGCGGCAGCGACTCCGGACATTTCTTAGATTTGTCCGGAAGCATTGCTGCTGCAATGCGGAAGAGTAAAGGCCCCCATCATTGGCGCAGCCCACCACTCCAGTACAGTGGAGGTAAGGGTTGGTGGATCACTCCGTTTCCCGTGGACGCCGTATTCTGGCTTGCCAGGAGAAGGCAGTACAACAAAAATGTGGACTCCACCTGTTCCGTCTGTAGGGATTGAGTGTTTCCGCCTCGCATGTGTAGGGTTTTTTTCTTTCCGGATCCCCAGTTTCCTCCAACATTTAAAGCCACTCATTATTTGGCCGATAACACCTTAACGTATCGAGCTTGGAGATTACATTCAAAAATAGCTCAGCTCTTATTTTGAGCTTGTTAACAGAAGCTCAGCTCTTGCGTAATACATTTAAATCTTTCAGCTAAAGTGCAATCAACAAGATAAATGTTCAATTTCAGAAACAAACCAAAGATCTATATTGTAAAGGAAAAGGATTATTTTGTCTAGGAGTTCAGTTTTATTGTAAGCTATTTATTTCATAACAATCGGAATGTCTAATTAACATAGCTTAAAAATACATGATCATCCTGAGGAAATGTATGTTAACATTCCGTCACCCCAAAACATATTTTCTACCAATTTTACATGGAGAAGATAAATCCAAATTTGTGTTGCACTGCATCCAGCTGGCTGCTTCTCTCGTCCGTGTTCCACTCGCTTGTCGCACTGTGTCATGCAGCACCTTGAGACACGACTTGGAGACCTGCTGTGTGTCTTGAGTGCTCTGTCCCTTGATGACCCATGCTTCCCCTGGGTTTGTGCCCGGAACAGGTGACACCACCGGGGGATGTCCACACCTGGAATGGAAGAGACGGGGACCCGACCCCAGACCTCAAGACATGGCCATCCTGCAACCTCTCACCACACCATCTGCACACACCCCACACACACACACACACCACCCACACACACACACACCACCCCATACACACACACACACACCACCCACACACATCACACAACCCACACACACCCCATCCATCTACACACATCACGCACCCACCCACCCACGCACACGCCACCCACCCAGACACACGCCACCCACCCACCACACACACACACACCCCACGCATACACACACCCAACGCATGCACACACCCCACCCACACACCACCCACCCACATACACACATCACGCACCCACCACCCATGCACACTAACCACCCACCCATCACCGACCAATAACACCCCCCCCTCCTTTCTCTTGACTCACTGTTACTGAAATAGCTAAGGATGTTTTTAACTCGTATATAATAACTGTATATATATTAGTTTAGTTTCACCGTGTATTGAATTTCGAGGAAGACCGTCACAATGACAGTATTAATGCGGAAGATTTAAATGTGCAATATGTCTTGCTTTCATGAAAGTTTGCAAACAAGCCTCGTGTTCAATATTTTGTAAATACAAATTTTTCAGTATTTTGTAAATATATATTTTTCATTTGTAGTAATGTTTTTTGGCATTTATGGTTTTGTTGGAACGTTTATGAAGATTGTTGTACTTGCTTGCACCACACACACACATACACCCCACGCATATACACACCATTCACATAACAAGCACACCCCACACACACACCATGCTTGCACTCCACGCACACGCCACACACACCACGCACACATACACCCCACACATACTCACTCTGCACACCCTATGCACACATCCCACACAAACACTCCATGCACACACCACACAGACACCCTACAAACAGACACACACCCCATGCACACACCACACACCCCACGCACACATACACACACCACGCACACACCCCATGCACAGACACAACATGCATTCACCCCATGCACAAACCCCGACTAGCGCTTAGGTCAACTCGAACACACAAACCGAACCTCTCCACCTGCGTTTTCATCCCGGCAACCTAGCGAGTGACCTGGCCATGGGTTTCCCATGTGAGAGAGAATTGGCAAAGTTCGGTGTGAGATGGAGACTCCCGGACCCTGTGGTAAAACATGGGTGAGTTTGACGCGAGACCACCTCCAGGATAATCCGGGTAGCATATGATGGTGCACCCAGATACACGAGCACTCAAGGGGGGTAAGTTAGAAAGGGCAGGTCGTGTTGGAATGCAATAAAACTGTTTTCCTGAGACAGACGGTGCGAGTGGGAGAATGGCGAGTGTGGCCTGGGTGCATCATCAACACATCGCGCATCTAAAATTATCCCTGATTATGACAATAGAAACCGCTGTAAGTGTATCAAAGTGTGGCATTGACATTGTGTGCATGTTGAGTAGAAGGAATAGTCGCAGACCCATGAAGGGGGTACTCGTACTACTCGCCTCGTCGAGCGGCATCAAAATATATGAGTGGTTAAGCTGTGGGAAGTGAAATAGACGAGCGACCAATAAAACACTATGTAATATGGGGATGACGGTTTTTTGCTATTCTCAAAATAATACACATGCAGTCATGCAAATATCTGATTTAACACAGCACAGCAAAACCAGTTTCACCATTCAATTCCGCTCGTCCAGGCGAGTAGAATTCAATTACATTGATTCGATGCGACGTTTCTTATGGGATATAATAAGCGACAACATTTGGACCCCAAACGAAGAGGATTCTGGGATGTTTGTGGTTTTTTGGCAATAACTCTGGATGGAATAGTCGCAGACTCATCAAGGTGGTACCTTTTAACGTAGCGGCCGTCACGTAGTTCACTTTCATCGACCATATCGAGGAGAGCACTGCAGTCAGGATCACGGCAGATGTTGTGTACGTGGAATGGTGGTGCTGTTATTTTTACTGTTATTTTATTTCAACCACGTCAGTCCCGCTGAGCTACACAGCGCTTTTATAAGAAGCGACCTGGCCACAGATGATAGCTCAACAAAGTGGCTTCTCGCGTGGACATTTAGAGCACCAAATATTCTCAACACGTCGACTCTAAATGTGGATGGGAACACCGCAGCACCGGGAGAGAAATCCACGCGACCACGTGGAGAGAGACACCGCAGACTCCACATCTAGAGCAGCAGCAGCAGCAGCAGGCGTCGGGGTCGAACCCACGACCTCCTGCACACCGGGCGAGGTAGTTAACATCTCCTAGCCACCGTGGCGACCCGAAGCCTTCATCCAGCAGTGGACTGCCAACACGGCATGGGGCATCACTGCGGGTCTACAAAGGTACCTGGTTGGAGGATGTGGAGCTGAGTGGACTTGCCGATGAGCGCTACCGGCGGTGTCAAGATCGGCCTCTGTGGAGGAGGAGGCTCGTGAGGGACGCTCACAACAACGAGCGGAGAGGCGGGCGGCTAAAACGCGGCGAGTTGGCACAGCTGGTGGCGTCTGCAGCCATCTCGAGTCGGTCAACCCCATGGCACCTGCAGGGTTCTGCCCCGTGACCTCCTGTCAGCGAGCCTTCGACACTTCGCGTGGCCTAAGAGTGCACCTAGCCTGGCACCAACGCCGCGGGGACTTCACCGCCACTTAGTGGCGAATGGTGACGGCTGCTGCTGCTGCTGTTGTTGATGCCGCTTGTGTGGACTGTCCTACTGTACGTAGACTTCGATGATTTTCCGTGGGGGAGGTGGGACCAGCGATGGACGAGTCCAAGTTGGTGTCTGACAGGGGGGCGCGGGAGCCCCACGTGGACAGACCACCCCGACACAGCCGCATGCCTGCCAGGCTATTTTGCCGACGCCGGAGGCTCTGCGCAGTACTACGCCTCCACACCCCACCCGTGTCAAGCGACGACTTTGTCGTATAAAGTCCATATACCCAGCGTTGCCCGGCCGGACAATACATTTTAAATCTTACAAAATCTTTTAAACATTACATACCAATGACAAAACTACTGTCTAATTACTTTTTAACCCCACGCTCAAAAAATAAATTATTTCAAAGTTTACTGTGCAAATAGTCATTAAGCTGGATGAGCGGACTGCCAGTATATAACGTGCACTGTTGCCTCATTATTACATTGCGTCAGTGCACTGCGAGTATATAATGTAGACTGTAGCCTGCTTATTAAGCTGCCTCAGTGTACTAACAGTCTATAATGCGGACTGTAACCTGCTTATGAAGCACAGTGGGTGTACTGCCAGTCTATAATGTTGCCTGTAGCCTGGTTCTTTTATTAAGTTAGTAGATTGCTAACACTTAGGCTTTCGCTAACATTATTCATAAACACCGTAATTCTGTTTAGATCGCCTTCTTTATTCACGTGCTGTAACACTCCAACCACCCGACACGGCCAATCAGTAAAAAAGTGTCCCGTTGATTTAAATATAATAGTTCACTGCTTTAGGCCACCGGTGTGTTCAAGCGTTAAAACACAACAATTACCATGTGTCATGCACAAAAACTGTATCATTCTGTTTTAAACACACGCACCAATCATCGATTCTTTCAATGCTCCGTCTACAAATAGTCCTTCACATCAGGTACATGCATCTAACTTTCACCTCCTCTTCACTCCCCCCCCAACACAATGTGTGAAATTTATATTATACGGTCCCTACATAATTACATTATACCCATTACACTGCATTATTGTTGCACGGGGGGGGGGGTAGGGGACGACACCCGTAGCCAGCCGCATGCCTGCTAGGCAATTTAGGCGACGCCGGAGGCTCTGCGC